TAACTTTTTCGAGATTTTAAAAGTAGTTCTCACAATCTAGTACTAAATTCCTATTCAACTAATTACTTATCTGATATTATTTATAGAAACTTATATTTAATATGTAAAGTATTATTTATTTTAATTCGAAAGATCTAATAATTTTATTTTACAAAAAATATTTTATAAATATAAATTTAAAATGTTATTTATATATTTAGCATATTCTTAAAATATCCGATGTCATACATTGTTCAGTTAGATGTATCAATGCAATCATTCTTTCTTTAAGTGTTATTACCTGATTTGCTACATTGTTCCTTTTTTCTTCAAGCTTTGTCACAAGATGACAATCAAAAATTTCATTCAGAAATTGATGACATGAACAGGCCATTTTTAAGCCCAGGAAAGATTTGGACGGGAAATAGAAACACAGGAAAGACAAAAGAAGAGCAATTCAATACCTGAATTGGACCAACACTGGGCTCATGGAGTTCGGTAATAAGCGGAAAGACCCAACGAGTTGGAAAACAGAGTGGCCCTAAAGCTAAAAGTATCCAGAATAGGCCTAAACCAAAGTCGATTACTAAATAAACGATTGGGCCCAGAAAAAGCAAATGGCTATGGAATGTGGTACTAGAAGATAACGGATCGGCTGGCAATTGCAAAGATTATGCGTGATTTTTCGGAGAACCGGCCTGGAAACTGGAAGACTAAAGGAGTAGACAGGGGTAGCATTGAACTAGAGTCAAAAGAAAAGACAAATTTACAGACAAGACTCAAAGCGGTTACGGCGGTGCAGTGACAGAGACGACGTATCAATGCCACGTGCCAACGCCACCTGCTACGCAATTAATCTTTCTGAAACTAAAAATCACAGCCGGGATCACGAGGCAGCAAAATACTCTATGCCAGCAAAAGTTGGACCAAAGATGCTCACTTGGATTCGGGACGTCCGACGTTGACAGGTCCAACCCTTAAATATTTTTTTGTGTGTGTCTCAATAAAAGAATTAATTTTATGGGCTCCCTCGCTCTGAGGCACTGACCCTCTATTTGGTAGCAAGCATTTGCGTCAGGAACTGATGTAGAGATACGATCTGAAACTGTACGGGCTATGCCTCTGAAACTGGCTCCCCACCTGTAAGGACCATCACCCTCAATCTTGTCCGAGCCATTCATTTTATCATCATTATCACTATTTGGAAGTTTTAAATTCCAACATAGAATTAACTGAATGGTTAATCATGTTTTAGCCTTTGATAATAAATAAATTATGCTTTTTTATATAAATAAAACTCGAAAACAAGTAGGCTGTTTCAACTCGACTCAATTTCAAATTTACTTTTAATGCCTCAACTACCCAGGATGAAACCGATCCATTTCAATGTGAAAATGGGTCTTTGTACGAATGTAAAGTCTTGGTGTTTTTAACGTGAATTGCATGATCAGGAGACAGGGGGAACAGTGATGCAAGAGACAAGTTTTCTGGCAAGCAGCAAAACGAGAGGCACGTAATTGCAATGAACGTGCTGAGGATGGTGACAAATATAGTAGTAAATTCTCAGGATTCTGAGAAGCAACCGTATCTGGTGAGCCGGGCCCAAGGGCAATTGCTACCTCATCCGTTCACCCTTTTGTTACATCTCTTTCTCATACATGTATCTGAACACCCAAATTTCAAAACTTGAAATAAACAAAGAAATGCAGAAAATTAAAAGGGTAAATATTAAAGGATAACAGGGCGTAAGAGATTGGGGCCAACTTGAAAATGGCACATCAATGACCTATCTAACATTACCTGGTTAGGTGGACTTTCATCTACCCACCTCTGAAATTGGTCCTAGACTTTTATGTCCCGATAAATTTGGCTTGTGAATCGAAATTGGCCATTATATTATCGGTAGTTCTACGACTTGGAACAGGTTAAAGAATCTTTCAAAATCCTTCAGCCGTCTGAGCAAAAAAGTAGGGAGAAAGAAAACGTGAGAAAAGTCAGAAGTCTTACAATTTTGTTTGTTCCAGTTTTAGATTATGAATTTTAGTCTCATCATGTCCTTACAAGTTCACATGAAAATCTTGGAATGAAGGACAAGTCCAAGTCACAAGCAGGTAAAAGGGTGGAGAAAGAGCCACTAGTTTTTAAGGTCTCCCCCGAAGAAACAAGACTCCTCCACACAGGACATCCCCTATCCTTTCCCTATCAAAATGTTTGACAAATAGATGCACAACCTGAAATTGGGTCACTTTCCGGTGAGCTGTTGGTCACGTATTATCAAAATGGAGGAACAAGGAGTTGGGGGCCCTAAAAATTATGGGACCATTTATATCTGTCTCAACAATCTTTGTATCTAACAATAAAATTCATCTTCGTCTAAATGAGTTTGAACTATTCAAAAATTATGTACATAGTATAAATAGGTGACAATATGATATTGCTTTGGTCCTTTTTTTTTTTTTTTGAATACTTGAGACAGGTTCAAAGGAGTAGGGCTATTAACCAGAGATTCAAAGACGAAACTTCTTTGTAACCCAACTGAATTTGTGCCTTTCAATAACATGTCTGGTACTTTCCATGTGAATCCCAAACATTCCTTCTACCAATCCATCAAGTTCACTGTTTGTTTGGCCTTGTTAATTAAGTAACAGGACAAAGAAGTTGAACGAAAAGATAAAACAATGTGAAAATGGCTAGTACTATAAATGAGTTGAACAATGAACAGGAAAATATTTGATCTTGGGATTTTGACGTAGCGGTCATGCACCACTTTGGAGAATAGTTTCCACCATCCATGCATTTTAAATAAGATTCCCCCCTGATTTTGCTTACAGTTCTACTGTAGTTCAATTACTTAGCAAAAAAGAAAAAGAAAATCAAGACACTCGAAGATTGAATCTTGAAATCAATGATCATGAGCTGCTAAGATCCAGCTCGTGCGCAACTAAGATTAGCCCATTACTTTTCCAATGCTGTCCTATGGAAAACTTTGTTTTCACCAGTACAAGCTGTCAACAACAAGCATGTAATCATATTTGTTGACTAAACTCAAAGGAGAGGTTTGAACTTTGAAGAAAATCATATTATTGTTTCTACTTTTTTGTTAAAAATGAGAAGTACCTGTTAACTTTCCAAACTTTTTTCCACAAAGAATAGCAATCTTTTTGACCATCAATCGTTCCACTGTGACCTTTTCATTGTTGTGGTTTGTTAGTGTGTTTCCCCTTTATATATCCCTCTTTTGCTTTCTTTTTTCCTTGTCAAATCAAGCTTTGATTAATTCCCTCTTGACATTTTAACTCCTTTGTTCATAAAATAATGGGAGATTTTCTTTGTGATGCAATTGCTGTGGGGCATCTTCGGCCAGCCCAAATGCAAACCGCGAAACTTATAATTGCCAATATCATTTAACCATCTGGCAATTACCAACAGTTCTTTCTTACCATCCTTCCTTCTACAGTTCGTTTTTATTTCGATATTATTGAGCATATCTGCCTAGAAATCCTTTTTTGATAATGTTTGAGTTCACTAAGTTATGGGTTAATATTATGGATTACTCTTGAATTATATTAAAATATTTAATATATATTTGAATTTTAAAAATTTTTAAATATTATATTTCAATAATAAATATGCTAATTAATGTAATATTTAAAAAATTATTTATCTATTACGTATTATGATTTAAAATTAATTATATTGAAAATAAATATCATATTAGTTACATATTTATAATTCTTATCAAATTAAAAAATTTTTAAATTCAAGTATTATATTAAATATTTTATTATAATTTAAAGATAATTTACGACATTAAATCTTAAGTTATTATGAAATGCATGTTTCATATATATTAAATATAAGTAAATGAAAACAAAATGTTGTCTAAACTTAAGCTGGATAATCTAGCAGTGGATCTTTTAAATTATAAATTTTCATATCCTAAGGATCTTTTAAATTGAAAATTTTATAAAATTAATTATAAACCATTGATTCATTGCAAGAAAAGTTAACGGAACAAAATTATTGTCATAAAGATATAATTCCATAAAAAATCATATCACTGACTCGACGTTTAAGTGAAAAGGATAGCTTTAATATCATCAAATTTCCTTAAAAGCATTAAATTAACCCCATTTTTGACATTTTTATGCTTAATCATGATCGCGGTGAAGATAAGCATGCATGTTTTCCAAAGTGTGGACTTTTTTGAGATTAATAATTATCAGAAAACGAGTTATTCAACCTCCAGCTTTTGCAGCACGTATTCATCGCTGTCATCCAGTCAGTGAAATCCCAACAATTTAATCGTCCGAAGATCGCAATCCACCTCAGACATAGCAAATTAACGAAGTAACGGCAGTGTCCACACAAGGGTTAAGGATCTCATATCTTCTCTCAATTTACACAATACATGCATCACTTTTGACGCGAACTCACCAGGACATGGACATGGAATCGCTTTTTATTACATTTGGTTTACATCGAGGAATAAGGAAAAAGCTAATGGGATTTTTAGCAACTATGTCATTATTCCTTTACGAAGTTGATATATAGTAGCAGACAGTCGTCACTAATTATGACACTATTAAATCCTACAACAAAACTTGCTAAAGTCCTTCCTTCGAGAATCTCATGGCAACCTTTTTGACATAATGGAGCGGAAAGCTAATGTTAAATAAGAGGGCGATTAATGTAGGGCGATTAATGTAATCATGTGTGCAATGTAGATTTGAGGGACAAACTTGTGGGAAGGATGGATAGGAGATATTGTTTGTCCAAACTCAGCTCCCCTTTTGCATTATTGGGAAACATTGAGCTGGTAATTTTGTACTTACCGGCCCCTAATAAAAAGTAAAAAGCGGATTCAATTATATGAACAGCCACAGCAATATCTAAAACATCATCATTCGATAAAATTTAATCATTTGGGCCCCCCCCTTTCTTAATCCCTTCCCTCCATTTTGTAAAAATCTTCATTCCAATATGAAGCCGAAAGGTACACTTTGGTTCCCAGACAGAACACTGGCCCCCCACCCGTCTTTCGTTAACCCCAAATTCCTTCCCACTAACTGCACCTTAAAAAATACATTAATCAAAATCTTACTTTTCTCCTAACTCCACTGATTTTGTTACTTTTTCTTCCTCATGCAAAACTTCAACATGTTCCAGTAACAGGAGAAAAGGGATTTAGGTATCGTTCCAGGCAGCAAAAAGGGGCAAGTGGGCCATTGAGAGAGCACCGGGCCTCAGTTCAGCTGCTGCTGATGGGAAGCAACTAACACCATTAGTTGGACTAATCAACTTTGATGCCAAGGGAGGCTTAGCAAAAAGCCTTGCGGAGCCTGTTTTATCAGGGCTGCCTTCTCTCGAGTCGCTCACACAGGTTACCAACGATGATGGGTTGGAATATTGAGTCCCTAGCTTGGTGGATTCATCCAACAATGGCTGGCTAGAGCTCACTGAATCAACAACGAGATCTTGCAGGGCCATTGAGAAAGTGGGATTTCGATAATTTCCGGTACTCACGGACTTCTGGTCAAGCGACTCAACAGCACCAATGCTTGGTTGTTGCTGTGGTGATTGATACAAAGCCATCTTCCAGTCTGAAGCATTCCTATTGTTGACGTCAGGTTGAGTCTCTTCATTCGTTAGAATCGGTGTACTGTAATCGTTGGCCTCATTGTTTGAATCTGTCTCTTTCTTTCCCCTAGCTAGCTCACCAGCAAGGAGAGTATTGCTAGCCATGATCCTTTTAACATCATATCTTGTTATGTCAAAGTTGGTCACAGCATTGACACCTCGGAACTTAATGGCAGCAATGTCATAAGCTTCAGCTGCTTCCTCTTGGGTGCCTGAAATGAAGCCAGAACCGTTAATTGACAAATTTTTGTTACGTCAAGAGCTTTGGAAAAAAGATTTAGCTTTTGGATTAAGCATTTTAGACTAAGAAATTCTTTTCCCATCTTCTTTATCACCTCACTAGAGAAAACAGCCTTAAAAAAGGTCATTGGGACTGGAATCAGCAACGTACAGTTTTTAAAGCAACTGTCTTCAGCCTTATAAAAGCATCATTATTCTCTATTGGAAAGATAAGAGCAGAGACGTCATAAAAATGAGCCGTTTAAATGCTCTTTATCCTAATGGAACAGCCAATAAATTTGAACTACGAATGAAAAATGATGGTAAAAGAAAAAGCAAAGAAAACAACTACCAACAGATTCAAGAAAAAAAATTGTTTGCAAGAGATCCAAAACTATCAAGAACTTACTAAATGTTCCAAGATAAAGGTCTTTGTTTCCAGCAACCCTGCCAATGCGAGCTTGCCATCTTCCATGCTGATGATGCCTACACCAAAGAAGAAAAAAAAAGAGGAATCAGTACATGTAATCTCTCATAAAGGAAAAGAAAAATGACGAGGTTCAATGACATAAAAGGAAATTAAAAGCAATAGAAACCTTGTTACTCCTCTGTACATCGAGGCCCCTCTGGAAAACCCACTACTTTTCCTGCAAATAAAAGCAATATATTAACTTATCATCAAGACATAATAGGCAAAAACAATAAAAAATAGAGTTTAGAATTTAGAATGCAAATTAGAAACCAACCTCCTCAGATGGGCAACATATTCCTGGCGGCTCATGTTCTTCATTTCCTCCAGTTCATCTCTGTAATTTTCAAGCTGCCAAAGCAACAAAAATAAGTCATACGGTTTTCCTCAGCAATCAAATTTTTTTTTCATTTTGAACAACAAAAATCAAATAAAGTTGCCATCCGTTTCACTTACCGGAAAATTTATATGCGTGGAAGGTCCCCAATACTTAAGAGCCGCAAGATCATAAGCTCTAGCAGCTTTCTCTTCCATGTCATAACCCCCTGAAGTTCATTTGTGAACTAGATTAATAAGAGTCAATCAAAATCATTAATGCAATGCTAATTAACTACTGGTTAAGAGAATGCTCACCAAGATAAACTGAAAAAGCATGAGTTGATAGAAATGGCATCCACGGGGAGCACGAACATGACAAGTACAAATAACACAAGTCAGGTCATTAAGACAGATGGACCAAGAATTGCATTCAAAAGAAGGAATACTTCCAAACGGATACTGTAAATGTGTTTCGTTTTTGCTTTTGACAAACCTTGCCTCCCTTTCCTGGTTTGTCCTTCCTTCTTGCAACTGTTATCCCAGAGATGAGCTTCATATCTACCCGTCCATCTATGTCTGGTGGAAGTAATTTGACAAAAGGTTACTCGAATATTTTGATAAAAGAAAACAAGACATTTCAGAATAGAATAATACATTAAAAAAATGCAACCTGAATGATAGCAGGATAATGGAATGAATTTAAAGAATAACTAAACAATAGTAAGGAAAACAGTTAAGAAACTATGTTAACAAGACCAAGAATGAAATGTAGTGGATTAGAGGAACAGTATGAACTGACCTAGTAACACCTCTATACTGGGATGTTCTCTGTCCAAATGTGTCAATCGACTTCCTATGAACAGGTTGCTTCTGGCCCACTTTTCCAGTCCCTCTCTTCTTTGTTTCCATGGCCACACATTCAGTGGCAGTAGGTGAGATCTGTCTTGGAGCTGTAACACAACTGGACTGAGATCCGGGGCTCATTGACAAACTGAGTGACTGTAAATCCCCGCAACCCATTGTACCAACAGACCCAGAAGCAGCCCCATCATCAACCATGCTATTAGTCATCTGCTGTTCCAGTGAACTATGGGTAGAGTACTGTCTAGTTGCCCAGTTTTTAAAGCATGGCATTGTTTCCTCTCCCAATTGAGGAATCTGGGAATTACAGTGTGTAAGTTGGGCATCCTTGGTTTCCTCCAATGGCGATTGATACATGCCTTGGCAGGCCAAGGCTGAATAGTAAGGATGAGTTTGAACATCAAACTCTTGGTCTTGTTGCCTAAATGGTTCTTGAAGAAGTTCCAGAGAATGATGCCTGTTAGTTTCCTGGTTTGCATTTTGGTGGTAGTACATGCTGTCTAAACTCAGAGCCATTGCCTCTCTTTCGTGGCTTCCATATTGATGAGTCTCCATTGTTGCACCACCCAAAAAGTCCTCCAGTTTTGGAGATGAAGTAGGTACAATCCCTTTACAAAATAAACCAATACAAGTTTTAGAACAACTAAAAGCAAATAAGATATGGGAAAACATGCAAAATAGCTTAAGCAAACCTTCTGATTGTGATCTACTAAGTGCTTCCATTATGCATAGCGACCCATCTGACTTAAGTGGCATAACAGACAAGGGAGCGTGAAAGCCTCCAGTTTCTCCAACTCCATAGCAGATTCCAGTACCATTGAGGTGAGAAGGCAAGTAGAAGCTTGTAGGAACAGCATTAGAAATACAAGAAACAGCAGGAGCAGCTGCTGAAGCAGCTTGACTATGATGAGGGTACTGATGATGACGGTGTTGGGGATCAGTAGCTACCTCCATTTTCATGTTGGGTGAAAGAGAGAAACCCAGCCAGTGATTATTGCTGCCATTGCTATTGTCGTTCATAGTCTTCATCTTCCTCTCTCTCTCTCTCTCTCTCTCTCTCTCTCTTGCTTTTCTTATTCAAGAAGTTCCTCAGCAGTTACATATACCCAGCTGCAAGGCAACTCAATCATTGAAGCAAAAATAAACTAATCATACCGAAATCTCTTGCCTCCCTCCCATCTGAAAGCTTGGCCTTTTGTTGTCTAGTAGCAGAACTCGTTGCAAGAACATTTCCAATGGTCCAGAACTCTTAAATCTATGCACTCTTTTTCTCTCTCACTCAGCCTCTGTCTTCTCGCTCTAAAGTGAACAAAATTGGTCTCTTTAAACTAAACAAAAAGAATGAATTCAAGCAAGCAATGCTGGGGGGCGCTCCTTCATTCCATAGGGATCTGTGTATATGAGAAAGACCACGTCTCTTTTACTTTTCCTTTCTCGCTCCACTTCCCCTCTTTACGTTTTATTTTAATTTTTCCTTTAACATTCTCGCTTAAACCCTACAAAAATCTCAGATACAAACATAACTACCAAAAACCCTTTTTGCATAAACTCACAAAGCCTCCCTTCAGTTACTCAAATGCGCCCCATACAAACTCCTCCCTTTTTACACACACACAAAAAGAAACACAAAACCCAGATATAATTACCCACTTTTTTCTACACACACACACACACACACACTCTCTCTCTCTCTCTCTCTCTCTCTCTCTCTCTCTCATACACACATACTCTTTTTCTCTACTTCAAGATTGACAGCAAAAACGTGTCAGTTGAATCTAGTGGAGGTGTGAAATAGCCAATAGGGGAGAAGGGGTGGTCAGATAACCAAACTTGGTTTTGCTTTATATTTACGGTCGCAGGGCCTTAGATAGATTTGACGGGCAGGACACTGCCCATCCAGTCACTTCATACAGTACAGCCTTCTGTGCCCCTCTGCAAACTCAAAAAGGATCCAATTTAAACCTAATGTTTTTGTTTTGCCCTGGTCTGCCAACTTAAATAATGCTCCAACTTGGTTCGTAGCTTTAATTTGAAAAGAGAGAAAAAAAAAAAAAACTTGCGATGGGAGGAAACACACAAACGATAATAGGATTAGTAGTAGTAGTATTTAGAAGAAGGCTGAAATAATATTTATTCCCTAACTGGGACCATAAAAATGGTCACAGCCTATCACCCACCGTAGATTTTGATAAAGAAAGGTGTATCTGAGTGGGCCATCCGATGTGACCTCTGCTGAACTTGTGCTTCATTCAGCTGACCGTAATGAAGTTGGCTGTGATCCTCAACTGTAATGCTAGGGTGACAGGGAAACACCAAGTTTTTCTTTATATTGTTAAAGCCTTAAAGAAACAATGGCTTGAGCTGGATTTTTTTCCCTGAAAACTCCCATAAAACATTAAATTGGAGAAAAAAAAAAGAGATGAAGCAAATGATATGCTATATATATTATATGTTTCTTTTTTTATTTCAGCAAGCAACATGTTGCAGCCTATCCAGCCACAAAAAAAAAAGTAGCAGGCTAACAATAGGCTGTTCATATTATATGTATTTTTTTATTTGCGGAGAGAAAATTCAAACTCTTTTACTATTTAAACATAATATATTATGCATCTATGTTCAAAACTGAAAATATTTTTTTATATATAATACTTAGATGCTAGTTTTTTATTCCATTCTTTTCCCTCTTCTTCTGCCAATGTTTTCCTGGAAAAAAATGGGTTTTCTTCATTGGTACCATTACCTCGATTGCAAAAGCTAATGGACAAATTTAATTGGGTATTGTTTCTGGTTTCTGTATTTTAATTAATGTTTTTTTCATTTATTATTCTTACTGTCCTTTTTGGTGGTCACTGGTCAACCTTTGCTTTTACTCTTTGCTTTTGTTTTCTAATAGTGGCAGGGATTTAGCAAAAGGAAACCGAAGTAAGATTTTATTTGTTTCATTTATTTTGATCTGGGTTTGTCATTTGCTGAGGTTGTTCTTTTATATGTGGGTAAGTCTTGCATGGAGATGTGCATGAAGGAAGGTAATCATGATCATGGAGACAGATTTTCAAATGTAAATGATTTGGTTTGAAGTTTGAACCCATTCAAAGGGAGACTGAGTTTGGGAGGGAAAGGGGGAAGTAGTAATAATAGTAACATGAAGAGAGTATGTGTTGTGTGCATGGAGGTGGGGAGGGGATTTTTTTTTATTATAAAGTAATGATGAGCGGCGAATCCATCAAACATCTGAGCAAGAGAAACAAAAAAAAAAAAAAAGCACTGAGATTTCCTTTTCTTTTTCTTTCTTTTTATTTCTTTCATGAATTAGTGCATGGTCTTGGCTAAGAGCTGCCTTGCCTGTTCCTACATTAACTTTTGTTCTTTCATTTTCAGCAACCTTTTCATGAGAAGCAAAGGGGGTGGGGTTTTTGGTAGGTGCTGTAGTCTCTGCTTCACCCGTTTTACCTGCCCTTGCATTAAGAGAATTAGTTATTATTATCAGAATTGGCAAAAGTCAAAAGCAATTTACAATCTAGAGTTCCTCATTCCTTACATAATTGACTTTCAAAATATAATTTTTTATATTTTTTTTAGTATTTGTTTGATAAAAAAAGTAATTGATCAATTGAAAATAATTTATTAATCAATAAAAAATAAGATTTTTTAAAATTATTTTCCTTTTAAAAATTAAAAAAAAACAATTTAAAAAAAAAAGATATTTATTAATAGAGCTGCTTGTTGAATCTATGAAATTAATTCGACTTTGACCCGGATCTTAGATTTTATTTTTTTAGATCCGAATTCAACTTGGTCTATTTTTATTTAATTTTAATTTAAAATTTAAAATATTAACATCAATAAGCTAAAATATTAAAAAATCTTTTAAATTAGTTTTTTTTAATATGTTATTATACTTTTATTTTATCCAAATAAACTATTATTCTCTAATTTTTATTCAAATAATTTATTATTTCAAAAAAATATTTATTTATGTCAATAACTTATTTAAGTGTAAATTAAAAGTTAAAAACTTATTTTTATATAAATTAAAATTTAAAACTTATTTAAATACAAATTAAAATTTAATAACTTATTTATGTGTAATAAAAATATAAAATATTATCTAAATAAAATAATAGAATTCAAAAGTTTTTATTTATTTATTGTTAGCCGTATGAAAAGTACTAACACAGCTAATCAATATGGTTTTTAATTGTTTGAAGGATGGGCATCTGTACCACTTCCTAAACTTAATTAAATTACCCTTTTATCAAAGGGAAATGAAAAAAATAACTTGATTCATAATCAAAGATTTAATGATAAGTGCATGTACTTTACACATCAATTTCATTATTCTACAGTACAAACACATGTTAATCTTCCATTATCAAAGGCTAAATTTAAGTGAATGATGAGATACATGTAACATACGAATGGAAGTGAGGATTTTGTCCAGTTCTTGAATATATATTTATGTAGGCTTATATTTAGTCAGAGATGTGGACCTTACAAGCAGAAGGAGCGAAGCCAAAATAAAAAGAACAGTCACCACTGTTTTCAAAGACAAAAAACAGTAGAAAACAGTTTGCATAGCATTAGAAAATGGTTTTCTCCTTGGTGGGAGTCAGTTCATTTTTAATGAGCTCAAGGACATGGACTCTATCCCATGTTTATAGTGACTTTGTGACATAGAGAATTCGAAACCAAGGAATAATTAAATGCGTTTTAAAGAAACAGCATTCAACGACACATGAACCCAAAATTTGTACGAAATTATTAAAATACAACTAAGCAAGTGGTAATCATAACCAAATCATGTGTTCTAATCTGATCAAGATCATTTCAGAGTCAATCGGGTAATTGTGGAAAAGAAATAAAAGTGTTTTTTTCTGCAGAAACAGCCTTCAGCAAAATCTATGGCCAAGTATGTTTGTTTTTGTTTAACAATCAAAAACAATATTTGATATGCTGAAATATGATTTTTCTTAATCTTAGTTCCTAAAGAAACGAGATTAAACATACAGAATATCAGTCTGTAACTGAAGACAAGACAAGCCAAGTAGCCAGCCCTGTTTGTGAAAAGGGGTAAATGTACAAAAACGTATAGGATACAGGCTGCTTCCAGCTTGCTGGTAGTTGGTCCTTTTAGGCCAAAATATTTCTTTGGCCATTTTAAGTCAACGAAACCCCTACAGTGGATTATTTGAGAATTCTTGTTATTCACTCCTGGTTTCCGTGAATTAGACAACATATTTTAAGGTATGAATGGTTTGATTTTTGAACTTGTCCTAAACCCAGAGAGGTCCAGCTGAGCCTGAGACTTGAGAGGGAATTAAATGCGGGAAGGAGTTATGAGAATCACGTGAGAACACAAAATCCAAACAAAATCTGAAGAAAGATTCACAACAAGAGCCAAAAACCAATAAGCGGGGCCAACAGAGAAAAAAGAAAAGTGGATTATGAGATGATCACTGGATACCCCAATTCACAAGGACAACAACAGCTGTGCCTGTGACTCTCTGTAACTCACTGTTTATTTAGCCGTTGAATATCCTCCTTCTCTGTCTCTTGATGCTTTATTACTCCTCAACCTCTCACTGAAGCTGAAGCCTGAAGGGTTTATTACGAGTACTAAAGTTGTTTTTAACCCTTGCCTTCCCACCCTTTTCCTATTTGTCACTACCCTTGAGCTCTTTTTAACTAGTGATGACACATCAAAATCTAAGCCCATGTGTCATGTCAAAATCAGCCTAGATTCTCTCTCTCTCTTTGTTTCCACAAGAGGGGTTTTTGCCCAATTGAGAGATAACAAGTTCAGAGACAGCTTGGCTTTGATGCAATAGAACAGACCAGTAGCTTCTTCTTTTGTCAACCTAAATATCCTAAGCAACAAAAGAAACAGATCATTTTAAAACCGGAAGCAAAACAATTAAACACAGGCACATCCTAAGACATCCTTCTACATACTCTATTAATTCCCAAAAGAGTGAAAAAAGGTTATAGGGATTTATGGTTGGAAGCATTCAAAGCAAACTAAAAATATGAAGAGAGGTGGGTGGGGAGGGGATGTGGGGCCTCCTTTTCAGCAGTAATTTCTGCCTTAAGTCACAGCAATCCCATCAAGATACCCACATGTGCCTTTAATGTTTTACTCGAATACTAAATGGTTTAAAAATGTTATCCATTTTGCTTTACTCTTTACTTGTTAATGGCAGAAAAAAATGGGGTCTGTTTCTTTTTTTAGTAATGTTGGATTTTAATACAAAACATGTTTTTGATTTGCAAGGAATGTGAAGAAAAGGAAAGCATCCATCCTCCACCCTACCTATTCAAAAATTCTTTACCAACAAATAATTGATTTAATTAGATAAAATTTATTCTCCTCAACAAATAAATTTTAAGTTTAAATTTTATGATAATTATTTGTTAAAATTATTTTAAATACACAACATTCGTATAATAATTTTATTTTGATATAAAAAATTAAATAATTTATTTACTTTTAAATTTTAAAAAATAAAAATAAAAACTCCTTCACGAGATAAAAGCTATTAGGCAATTAAAGATAAGAGTTCAGTCTTTTGTCCATTACTACCAGTTTACCACTGTTTTCTTCTACTCTATTAGCGGCTGTTGGACCTGGTACCCTATTTTCCCCTTGGCAGTACCTAACAAAATTTAACCCTGGATTATTCGTTTTATAGTATATACTACATAAAATTAATTGGTCAAAACTCAAAAGACAAATATTCCTTTTATGATTAATAAAGGAAATTCAAAATTCAAAATTTAAAATTTAATTAATTTATATAATTATTTTTGTATTTAATAAATTTGAGTTAAAATTTTAATATCGAAAATTTTTTTCTCATATTATGATTTTTCTTGTATAAAAATAAAAAAAAAAAACAAGAAAATGCTTTCAAGTAAATTTTGGGAAGTTTATTTTGAAGATAAAAGTGTTCTTAGCATTCCTATACTAGATAGCCCTGATTTATAAAGAACATACATTTTTCTTCATTTTGAATGTCTCAAAAGTTATAGTATATTGTTTTCTAAGTTAATTTTCTTCTAAAACAAAAAAAAAATGTTCAATAATGTGTTATTGAGTGCTACAATATATTTGTACAGGACGGCGATGGGCATGGCAAATTGACATAAAGTCATCGTAACACCGAACGATAGTGTGATAAGGTTGGGTGACAACCAAAGGGGACATCAAGAGCTGAATGATGGTCTCAATGGAAAGACCCAAGGGGAACTGGTCCATCTGTTGCCTAGACAGAAACAAAAGCAAGAAAAAAAAATTCAAAAAAAACCAGTGGTTTTGATTTTTGTGTAGCCATATTATAAGGCCGATGGGACTCCTCATGAAGCAACCAATAAGATGGTCTGTTGTGACGGCTAATAGTTGCTCCTACCAGAGAAATTCAACACATCTATTCACTGACTCCTCCAATTACCAGCCGCCGAGCCCACCCACCTTAATCGCTATGCTGTATTTTGCTACCTAAAAAGGCCTTGTCCAATCCCTCACTTCACCAAACGTATATCTCCCATTCAGCACTGTACAGTTCCGTTTGTTTAGAATTCCCCGTTTATTATTATTGATTATTACACAACAAAAACATAGTAGCATTCAGAAACGACCAAGACAAACGGTGAATTTTTGACTATGAATCTCATTTTATTTTTATGCTAAATACTGAATCTAACACAGATAATATTTCAGTTTTCCCTTTTACAGGTATAATTACTATCAACGAAAAAGGTATGATAAAACTCAAGCATATTATAAGAAAAACTCATTTTATTTCTGATGACAAAATTAAAGAATTACAACTCATCAAATCAGATGAGATCTACAAGACAAGTTGGTTTAAAAAGTTTCAACCTTGGTCTAAAAAATCACTGACTGTTTACTTGAAACAAGCAAAAATCGAAAAACAGAAATATTTTTTTGCCATCTTTTCGCGCATCCAGAAAGAAAACACAATAGAGTTAGGGGCAGCAAGCAGATTTTCAGTGCAAATCCTGTTATACCATGCACTCTAGTATAACGATCAGACAAGCATTCCGGGACAACACCACCGGTATCAACTAGACTCGGAAACCATTTTACCACAAAAGGGGAATTTACAGTTATCCAATTGGATTTAAGTGGCATATGAAATCTGCTTCAGTTTTCTGTGATTGGGCCCAGAAGGCAATCATGATACGCAAATTGGGTCAATCACAATCTTCTGTGGAAGAAGTATGGGGAAAAATGGAAGGGGAAAAAACTCATATCGTCATAGAGGTTAAAACTGACTTGAATTGTATTATCATGCTACAGCCTTGAAGTGTAGTAATCAAAAACTATAAAGAGATTTCTCTTACCTGTTACAACTATAGCTCATTAGTACAAGTATACATGAAAATTCTGAAAATTGATGACTTGAGGAATCAACCTCATGGCAGATATTGGGTATTACCATCTTCGTACCAATGATGTGAGCAACTGCAACAAAATGTCCATTAACGGATGTTTATAAGGATCAATTAAAAATTATTTTTAGTTTTTGCATTTATTACATTTTTTTTATCATATAAAAGAACAATACATTCATTGCATTTTTTAAAATATCACTTTAAACAATACTCAGTGACTCCCTATTAACAGTTTTCTTTAAAAGATAAAATTTATTAAGGACACTATTTGAAGTTAACCTATTAAGTTACTATTTCCATTATATTGAAATTCAAGAAATTAGCTAATAACTATTGCACTGAATATAAAATGTTACTAGAACTTATGTCTTAAAAGTTTTTGACTTGTTCATACAACCACAGGTGATTTCCAAACCTTTGATGCAATCCTTTTTCATATCCCGACCTTTTTTTATTAAAAAAAAAAATAGAAATTAAAATTAACAACTATTCCATTTAATATAAAATATTACTATAAATGATAAATCGTGCCTGTTAGCAAATTTCTTAAAATTGACAATCATATTAACTAACAACAGTCACCAGATTCTCAGGTCAGGTTAGCAGTTTATAAATCCTGAAGAGATTTTCATGTTTTACAATAATATCCATGGGAATATCAATTCTTCTTGTTATCGAAGAAGAAAGAAAACAAAGCTGAGGGATATGCTCCTCAGTCCTCATTAAAAAAAAAAAAAAAAACCAAAGTTATTCTACAAACAAATACATCGAGATCAAAACATGATAGTGAAATGCAATTTCATCTCACAGCTTGACAAAAGTATAGATCAGTTCATGATCAATCTAATAATCTTCTTAAGCATGGCAATTCGTGGTTAAATTTAAAAAAGAAAGGTATATCCTATCATAAAGGCTCTAAAGAATAGAAATCCAAAACAATCTAAAAGCTATTGACTTTGGCTATATATTTTTTTTTACAAATGGGTCTGCGTGTAATAAATATGTTAAGGTTGAGTTGGGGGGGGGGGGATATTGGAGAGAAAAACAGGTAATACCAATGGGATAATAACATCAATGCCCAAGAAGGACCAAGAAAGCAATTGTTTGGATCCCAATATGCTTCTGTATTGCTTCATTATTAACATTACCTGACAGAGTGATGAAATACACAAGAGAAGTTGAATCCAAATGCAGTTATATTACAGAATGCTAAATTCTGTACTGACAATTCATAACACTAAAGAAGAATATGCAGCATGTTTATGACACAGATTACATCTAAAAAGGACACTGAACATTGATGGTTAAACAGCCCTAAGACGATGAATCAGTTAAAGAATTTACTAAGAGTCATCTAGAAGCATTTACAGGTAAAGACTTAGTTGTCCATCAAGACTTTTCTGATCCTGTTCACTAGAAGCACCACCACTACACTCTTTTAAACCGAACAATCACTACCTAAGTTTACCCTCTCAATCTGGGGTTGCATGGCATTTGCTGGCAGATATCCAAAGCCACCGAGAACCTGATTTCATTTCCCATCAACTCCAGCCCCAATAATTCCATTGATCCCATCAGCCACAGTACCCATCAGACCAACCTCACTGTTCATATAAGCGGGATAAATGGATGCACTGCCATAAGGCAGCTGGTAAACCCTTGCTCCAAGCATTACAGGGGTGTATAAAGGGCCCCTAGGAGTAAAAGGAGTGACACCATAACAAATCCTATGGCCTACCATGGGGTACCCACTGCCATACACACCTGTTCCATATAAATAACCCCCAAACGTAGTATACCCAGGAAGAGAAGCATAACCAGGAAATATTCCATATCCAGGACTATTCGAAGAGTACTCAACAGCCTGAAAACCATTATAAAGAGATCCCCTTACAACCCCCGCCTTCATGTTATGATTACTGTAACCACCATTATTTTCCTCTTTTGGCACTGCACGCTTGACCTCCACAAGCCTATTATCCAACTCATGAAAACTCTTCTGCATAACATTCTCCACAGACTCCTCTGAGTCAAAAGTAACAAAACCAAATCCCCTAGGCCGGTTAGTAGAGCTATCGTGCATCACAACAACATCTGTTATTCTACCAAATCTTTGAAAGTAATTCTTAAACTCTTCCTCGGTTAGACTAGCAGATAAACCCCCTACAAAAATTTTTTTAGTCGTCCTAAAGTGATTATTGCTGTCAGCAGCATCACTACCATTCCTACTGTACCCACTATTCCATTGTTGATTTGGATTGTGGTGTAGTTGCTGCCGTTGCTGTTGGTTTTGGGGTTGTTCGCTTCGGGGTATTGCTTTTTTCACTTCTACCTAGAAAACCAATTCATATATAATACATTAAACAACCCAAAATAACTGCATGCTATCATTCCTTAAACTACTTAAAACTTTAAACTTTATTCTAAGTTCAATTCCTCACTTTTCACAGCAAGTACACAGAGTAAATAGATAAAAACAAATGAGAGTGACTGGGTCAGGAAAGAAAGCTTTGAACTGACCGTTCTCCCAAGAATAACGTGGGTGTCTTGAAGAGCTTTATCAGCTGAAGAAGGTTCAGAGAACAAAACAAAGCCAAAACCACGAGGAATTTTAGTGTTCCTGTCTCTAGCTATAACTGAGCTGAATACGGTGCCGTATTTACTGAAATGATCGTTAAGAATAAGTTCACTTGTCTCCCGAGATATCCCTCCCACAAAGAGCTTGCCTTGATCAGATTCCATGCTCCGCTAAAACCCTAGCTACCGAAACCAAATAAGATAAAATAAAAATTCCCAATTGCAGCAGAATACGAATTACATTAATTTGTGCAAAAAAAAAAAAAAAAAAAAACTAATTGTAGTAAGAATGATAGAAACCCTAACCCTAAAACCCTAAAATACTGTACATCTGGAAATAAAGAGAGTGAAAACCCCTATAAACCTCAAATACCAGAGACCCGAAAATTCCCAATTGGAGTAAAAACCCTTTAACCCTAATTGAAAATAATTAACGTCAAAAACCCCCAATTCACACGAGAATGATAAAAACCCCAAGTCTAAGGTTTTTAGGGTTTCTTGCTAAAAACTTGTACAAGTGAAACAAGAAAACGAAGTTAAGAACCAAGTGAAAAACGCGACATTTGGTTTGGAGGAAAAAGAGTTGAAAAATGACAATTCTGGGCCAAATTAGTGGGCTTTGTTAATTTCTTAAGAGGTGAAGTTAGGTGGCCCACAGGCCAAATGTGGATCTCAATCAACACGTGCCTGATTAAAGCAGGGAATGGATCTGCTGGGTTATTGGATCCTCAAAGGTTTCCTTGTCTTTCCATATTTGTCCTAAAAAATGGATCCATGAATACTGTTGAGTTCTTTCCCGATCAGGAATCATCCGTACCAGTCCAATTGGGTAGGGAAACCCATATTAAACGGGTTGAGTTGGTTTTCAGGTTTGCCCAATCCAGTATGCACCCCTAGACGAAAGACTTTGCCCAATAAGTAAGTACAGAGGCTTTGTTCCAAGCCCCGACCTCGTGAAAGCAACCACTATTTGCTTTTGATTGAGAACAAATTCTTCATTCTTGAAAATTTTAATTGTAATTTTTATCGTATTTAGCATTACAATTGCTATACAAACGGCTTCGATATCAATCCCAAATGGGTTGTAAATAGATGGAGATGATAACATATTCCACTTACAAAAACAGAAACTATGATTTTTTTTTTTAAATAACATTTAATGCAGATTATTATTAGTATTAGTCTTTCATGCGTAACCATCATTCATCATTCTCGCCGGAAACTAGTAATGCAAAATTTTATTAATCAAATTAAATTAAATGTAACCAAAAAAAAAAAGGTTAATGAAAACTTTAATTTATGGGTTAGCACGTGCCATGATTCCAAAATGCCTTTTGTCATTGTGTGCTCCATTTGAAACATACAACTTGCCATTTTCTTTTTCACCATGTTTATTTTTTATACTTGTATAATACTAATAAACCATGATTTTATTTCTGAATAATATTGTTTATGAAAATTTCTATATTTACTCTGCAACTATACAAACTGTCCCTGCGGGGGTGGTCCAGTTGGTATAAAGGAATCAAGTTTTTTTTCCTTTCCTTTATCACTTGGTGTTTAATTTTTGTGTCAAATATTTTAAAAGTTAATTTTAAATGTATTAAATCGATATAAATAATATGTTTTTAAAAATAATAAACAGCCAAATGAAGGAATAGATTGTGTTAATAATCATTTTTTTCGCCAAATTTTAAAACCTTGTTTGGTAAGAAATAGTAAAGTCATGGACACATTGAACTTTGCTTTTGGTTTCGTACAAATTTTCAGCTACAATAATGATTATGAAGTGCCTTGAGAGTAGTATGTTTAACTGCATTCTATTTTCTATAATGTTCTCGGTAGGTAAGATCGGATCAAGTAAGATACAAAGAGAAGAAAAAAAATGTTAACCAAAAAAAAAAAAGAAAGTTGCAAAGCTTGTGCAGAGGATTCAATCCCAAGATTTCCTCACATGTAGGGGTGCAGCTCAATGCCTAAAAGCAAAGAAATTAATCCATTTCTATAATCAACTAGTCTTATGCGTGCGAATATTCCATAATTGCGTCAATTTATTATCATTTCAATCAAAGATATGTGCACATAGGAATTCATGTTAATCATTTATCTAATCAATCGGTTTCGTATTTTTTAATTCTTTTGCATGTGACATCTAGCATTGAATAATTCTTGAGAAAACAACTGTTATTTGCAATGATCTTTAACTAATCTTCACGTAGAAACTTGTGGTAGTAAACCCAAGTATTAGGAATTGTTTTTGAGGTCATTATCGATGTTCGAAATGTTAATTAACGAAATTAACATAAGATAATTGCATTTAAATATGTTGAAGCCAACCCAAATTTTGCGTTTTGACCAGCTTTTAAGGTGTCCTAATAGAACCATGGAATTAAATTATTCAAAGATGATGATGTGAGAAGCATCTCTAGGTGTTATTGAATTAAATCTTCTCTAGGGTTTGCCGATCTTCACTTGCATTAATCTTTGTCATCTTCTCGTTGCCAAAATATATTCAATGCTCCTTGTACATAAAAGCTTTTTTGTTCTTTTATTGGGTTTTGGGCTTTTTTCAATTGCTAATGGATGCCATGAGTGGAACCCAAACTCCAACTAATTAAAAGTAGTGTTATATCTACATATATTTTATTAGTAGTATATATGGAGTTTAACCAAGGTTTTTAACTTCTACCTCTCATTGCCTAACTTCAAGTTTCATGGTTGCACTTCTCATGGAAAGCCTAGTCAACCACGTGTCGATCATGAACCATGTTGGTTCACGATATACTTAGAGAAGGACATGACATGTGAAATTGAACAACGGTTTAAATTAAAAAACCAACATAAAATTAATCTGAATTCTTAAAATTTAATGAATTAAACTTGATTAACTTCTATGATCCAAAGAAAATGTCCTCTGAAATGAATAAGAGTTGGGAATACTAATGAAAAAGTGAGCAGGAAAACGAGGAAGGATCAAAGTTGAAGTTTGATTTATGTCAAGTTGCAGTATGATATCAAGGGATTAATAGACAACCAGCTGGTGTTAAAAGCATTTCAAAGCCTCATAGAACAAAAACAAAGCTGAGTCAAATGCAAATGTGACCTCAACATGCTTTCGAAGGCACATGCAAAGCAATTTTGTACTATAAATATGGTTTTATTAGACATGGAAACCGAGTTTAAGGTTTAATGAAAAGATGCTAAACATTTTGTCTGTTCATGATCTTGTCCAAATAATGACATGTATTTGTATACAAATATAAAAGCTGAAGAGACTTGAGATGAGATTAACAAGTGCAAGTAGCTAGAGACTTCATTTAAGTTGCAAGTTTATGGCCGGACCAACTATTGTCATGGTTTCCTATTTTCGTTTTAAATGAGAGAACAAATTGGTAGTTTCGATCTTTTATTTTTCATAAATACATGGCCAGAGAGAGAAAGGGAAGAGAGAACAAATACCAATGAGATGAGATGATAACCTTTATTTTTAAATAAAAAAAATGGGAAGAAAAACGCTAAAAAACCTTGGAGCTTAGGTGGTTTTTAAACAAAAGGGAAACACCCAACGCAAGTTGACGCACCTGAGGCTGAAATTAAGAGAACACGGCAAGGACAGGCATGGTTTGGTTTGTTAATTGGTCTCTTGAATATTTTAATTTTAGTTTATTTTGACCAAGAAAACCAAAGGCGATAAGACATGCCTTTGGGATTACACACTTTCTTTGGACTTACAAAACCCTAGAAAGAGAAAAATTAAATTATGGGCTTGTTTTTCATGCTTCTGCTTTGATTTTAATACCTGTAGGTGTTATTAATCATATTAAAAATATTAAAATGAAAGGATTTGCTTTGAAACCCAAGAAACCCATCCATATTCAAGACATTTGTGACTCACTGTTCTGAAAAAAAAAAAACTAACTTACAATAATCATTTACATTTATATAAAAAGAAAAGGGTCTTTACCCACAAACTCACCCTGTAATTTCCAATACAAATTGTCTTTTCTCTCTCTGGCCTCTGCCATGGAAACTCACAGAAAGTTTCTACCTCAAACTCAAGGAGAGAGGGAGAGAGACAGAAACAAAGATAAATGTATTCATGTTCTCATCCAAACAAAGTCTAACATGTTTGCTGGGGGGACCAAGTTGATGTTCTTTTGAGTCAGCAAAACTCAGCGGAGCATATATGCTACTATATACCTATCCTTCTACCCCTCTACTTACTGACCTAAAACAAAAGAAAAAAAAAAAAAAAGGGAAAAATTTGAAAAGTGGGGTTGGGAAAGCTACAAAGCTAGTCACGTGAGCATCATGACCCCAACTGGGGTCACCCTATTATATATTTCTTCCCCTCTAATTATTACATGTTTGGTTCCAGAATCTCATTTCCCACTTTTTCTTTATTACTACTTTTTAAATATTCTTTTTTATTATCTTAATTAAAGTGTATTTAAGTATTTGTTTTGGAAAGGTTAGATGCAGTCAAAGATGCGTTCGGTTTAGTTTTTTGGTTAGTCCAGTCCATCCGTCCTAGTGTTGATGATGGTTTGGTTGACAATAAGTAGTACTAGTAATAAATCAGTCTTCTGCATTATTCTTTGTTCATTGGGTCATTGGGTCATTGCCCTTTAACTCCAACCTAACCGCTATAGATTGTGAAAAGATCCAAATTCCTAACCCCGTGGGGATAGAGCCGGAGGGGGCGTGCTGGCAGTGGCAGGGCAGTAGCTAGGTTGGCTGCGCAAGTTTTATCTTTTTCTTTTTTAATGATTTTGGACATTGGCGCGACTAGACTTGAGATATCGGCACGTTTCAAAGTCTACCACCAACCATAGTTGCGATAACCAAAAGCACAATTTTCACTTTTTTTTTCCAAATAATTTAATTAAGAGTTCATCATTGCTATGGGAGTTTCTTTTTTTTTTGGCATTTGATATCCTGACAAAAAAACATTCCAATCTTTTCAAAGATATTTTCAACGTTGAGATTTTGAGTTAAAATTTTATTATATGTGAATTTAATTTAATTTTTAATTATATATGAATTAATTAATTAATTATATTTAATTTAATATTTTTATGTAAATATATAATTAATTATGATTATAATTTTTTAAAAACTTTAATCTAATTCTAATTAACTAAAGTTTTATCATAACTGAAATGTTCAAATTATCATAATTGATCTAATGATACATATAGAATCATAGTAATTAAACTTAAAAAATGTGACAAAAAAATAAATAATTAGATCTTAGATGCTTGATTGATTTCATTCTTAATTGTAAATTAATAATAAAAAAAGTTTTCCAATACATTACTATATCTTTTTCGGATACGCATCATGAGTCTGAGTTGGATATAATACGGTTCTTTTCTCAATTTAACTTATTCATCCATAATCCATAATTTGGAAGATAGTGAAACTAAAAAAAATAGTGTGGAAATTGTATATCTTTTAATGCTCTGATATTGAATTGAACTGCCTTTCTACTGCTAATGTCCTTTCAGATTTGAGTGAGAGATGACCGTGCCACCGTGTC